CTTTAATCTAAACCCGCTATTATCATGAGGATAAAATTAAGAATGAGATGAGACATGTTTACACTTGGTCCTCAGGTATGGGCCTTTGGAATGAGAAGAAGCTTATTCCACAAGCTTGGGTAATTTCCAGTGTTCAAGAGATTTTCCATTTATGCAGTTATGATAACCTAGGAAGACAGGTAGAGGTGGCTTAGTGTGGAACCATAGTTTGCTGAGAATGAATTGTGATGCTTCCTGTGGAATATGAGTAGATTTGATTTTGATGGGTTCTGCCTGTAGGGAACTTTTTTTTTTTTTGGGAAAACCTTCTCCCTAAATTGATACTACAGCAGGAATAGTGGTAGATGGATCATTTCTCCTTTTCAATAGACCTCAAATATCCTCAATTATTGTGGAAAGTTTTGAAATCAGACCCGTGTTGTGTGATGAATTGCATGGAATATGCACTGACCTCCTATCACCCTTGCACCTGGTACTCACCTGGCTGGGATGCCACGCTATTTTATATCCCATTAAGCTACCTGCCACGTTCCTAGTGGATGTCTTTGTGTACTTGGTCTCTGCAAAGCCTGCAAAAGCCCTGTAAAGTCAATGGTTATGTATGTGTTTGGGGAAGATGTGTAATATATATGGGTTGGTACCCATGAGGAAAGGGAAGTGGATGAGGGAAAGTAGCTCTCGCACACCACAGTACCTATCCCTCCTCCTCAGTCCTAAAGAACTTTCTCAGGTATTACTCAAGACTGGTGAACTGAGAGGGAAAGAGTCAAGGACTTGTGCCCAGTAGTAGGGATTCAGCATCACTCACTGATGCCTGCACGGCTCTGAGCAACATGGCCAAGCAAGAGAAGTCTACATACCTGAGTGGCTGGGAGTGAGTGGGAGGGTGAGAAGCCCATGCCTCACTTGCCCCTTGCCTTCCTCCAAAGGGGATGCATTGGTGCTGGCTACTGTCTACCTTCTATCAGTATAGACATGACCCGGGTGACGTAGGGGTCCCTGTCCTTTATAATCACTGTCTGTGGTATCAGGTGGGAGTGCAGCACCAGTCTACCCTCATGTACCTTAGGTCTTGGTTGGCCTTAGATTGCCCTCAACAAAGATTCCAGCAGAGGACATGCAAACAGTTACAGTTTGTATTTATATGTCCTCCCAAAGGTCCATAAGGTCATAAGTGGGGTTTATTCAGAGATGGCTGAATTTAGAGTGTGATGCTAGGACTATTACTAAACCAGTCTGCTGGTTGCTTTGGCATAGCAGAACTCCAGTTGTCCAGTTAGACTGTAAAGAGGCAGAAAGAAGCTGCTAAGATCCTTGTTTCCTTCTTTGGTACATTCTGCCTGATACAAACTGTTTCCCCTCTGCAATGCATGTCTACAATGCCCCTGCCTTGGAGCTGGCTGATTATGGACTGAAATCTCTCTAAGCTGTGAACTAAATAATCTTTTCCTCCCTTAACTTATGGGTGTTGTGTAGTTTGTCTCAAGAGGAAGAAAAATAAGACACAAACCAATTTCCTTGTCTTCAAATTGTGTCTCATTTTTATTACTTTTTTTTGGAAGAAAAGAAAATTTGGGTACTGGAAAAGCTCACCATGCCCAGTGATTTGTAACATTGTTGGAGAATAAACAGTGTCCTTCTCATTAGATGAGAGAGGTGCCTTCTTGGAGGTCAAAGATGATAGGGATGACCTGCAGAGGGATTAGATAGTGCTTGCTCTGAGACTCTGACACAGAGTGAGGGAGAAATGTTTCCCTTCACAAACTTCCAAGTAGTTGAGCTCACAAAAGCAGAGAGAAGAACAGGCATGCAGAGAGATGTTCAGAACGGACAGCACACATTCCACTTTCTTTCCTGGGATGCAGAAGCTTATTTTCCCTCATCAAACACCACCATCAAGTAACTATGATGATGGCTTGTGCCATTCAAGTGCCTCACATCTCTTCCACTCCCACCCTCCTCTAGTGGATTTGATGTAGAATATCTCCTGTATAAGAGCATTTCATTATCTAGTCAGCCTTCATTGAGCATCTCCTGTATTCATGGTAGCAACTGGAATTACCCCTGGCTTCCTGAGACCTGGATGTGTACGTTACAGTGTTGTGATGCTATTCTCAATTGAGAGATGAACTGAATGTGTGTATGCAGAAAGTCAGAAATTACTGGGCTAATTTCACAGTGGAGCTGAGACATACCTCCCCAGTGTCTCAGCTTCCTTCCCACAATATAAGGCTTGAGAACCTGAAGGCTTTAGGGAATAGTGCATATTTGAAAAATGATTAGAGTGTATTGTGAAAACAGAAAGTTATGGCCTAGTTGATTTCCTCTTTAACTGCTCTATAAATGCATTAAAATTATACTTCTTCAGGTGATGATGAATGGCTGGGTTCAGTGCAACTCAAGTGGGACAGCTAGAGACATGGGGCTAGGGCTGCCAAGTCTCCCTGATAGTCTTCAGGGCAAAGAAAGGGTGCCACGCTTAGAGGAACTCCAGTAGGAAGCTTTAATTTGTTTTTCTTGCTTATTTTCTCTTGCTAATTTATTATTTTTTTTGATAGCAGCTTTTTTTATTGGTTACAAAACCTAAGCCCACATACAAAATTAGGAACACATTTAGATGCCTCTTTTGAAAGAAGGTTTTAGTCTTTTTCAAATGAGTTTAAAAAAATAAAAACAATGCAATTTTTAAACACTGTTTTGAAAACTTAAAAGTGCAGCAATATATTTAGTTCCATTTATCTACGAAATGGTGCAATTCCAATTAAAAACTGGTGAGGTCACAACAAATTTAATCAAGCAAATGCATACATATGTCTGCACTACTTGATGCTAATGTTCACTTAAATGTTAGTTCGCACTTAAAACACAAGACGAAATAGGAATCATCACGGCTGAGGCCCAATTTTAATCTGGATGTGTGCAAAATTTAAAAGGTAACTGTCAGTTAAGTATGGAGAATCTGGAAGAAATTAAACTGAAAGGGGGACAATTTACACTATGAAGAAGATTTGGACTTTAAGGGTTTCACCAAAGTTTGTGACCTTAATTTGTTTTGTTATTCTTACTTTTAGTGAACACCACACAGCTGCAAAAATCTAGACAGTAGTGCCTGAACAGGATGCAGTTACCATATGAAGCTTTAACACAAAATTTGGATAAAGAAAAAAAGGCACAATGAACTTCAACTCAATTTTATGTGCACAAGAGTTGAAAAATCTGAGCCACCTTAAAGAGAAATGGATTCTAAAATTTATAAAACCTATAAATAATCAGAGGCCAAACCACTATATTAAAACAGACTCTCTAGCAAGTAAAAATCTTGCAGTTTAAACATATGCTTGTATCCACTTTAGATACAAGACAAAACTCACTCTTTAAAGTGGCTCCACCTTGGCAGATACATATTTTGTAATGATGCACTCCTGCTATGTGTTGCTTATCAGTGAAAACACCCCAGCTGATTTGTAAAGCTTTGATGGAATCTGTCTCATCTTCATCACAGTAAATACACCCTCATCAGATAACTAAATTAGTTTAGATATTCTATCTTTTCATATCAATACATTGGGAAATTATATCCAGTAAACAAGAGCAACAAAACTATTTCTGCAATAGCACAACTCATTTAGTTTAAAAGTTTTAAATCCATATTTGTTCATTAATAACTGGGTCAGACATTTTGTCAAAAGCATTGACTTTCATAGTAATGCCAGATTTTGCAGAATTACTTAAACGATCACTGCAAATTAGGCTTACAAATTACCACAGATTATTCCTCTACACAGATCCCTGTTTGAATTTTTTAATAGGTGCCAATGCTTTTAGAGCAGGATCTGAAGTAACCTTTCCAATACTCAGTGAAGTCTTATAACACTAGTTGCTGGTTTGTTGCCAACCACATTATCAAAAGCACTGGTTACTAGTAAAAATGGTTTAAGACTAAAGTACAGTAAACATGAAAGTTCCACAGTTTAAACCCAACATAAATCAACCATATCCAATTATCAAATTCAAACAAAAAATATTAACTCCTGAAAGCTGAAAGCAAGACTTTTTTCTTTTAACATCACCACTGAGTATTTTAGATCTTTGCAGTTGTTTGCTTTTTAAGTTTTTTTTGCTTTTCTGTTGTGTTTCCTTTGTAGTCAGGGACTCTTGCTTTCAACTGAAACAGAAGTTCAAGTCTGTAACAGGTTGCAGCTCAGGTAAAATACCATGCACAGTGTTTGATTACTTCAAAACAGTAGGAACACACAGGCTGAAGTGAGTGGTCAAAGAAGACTTGCTGTTCTTAAAAATTAGGTATAATGGCGAAAGCATTACATCCATATCTAAGGTTCTTCCTTCAACCCTGGCTTCTGAGGCAGATAAGAAACACATCAATTACTGGTATATGAAGTACAGTTTTTGTTTGCTTTTTAAAAAACTTATCAGTTTAATCAACAACCAAGTTTCTGTTTTTAAGTTACTTTTTTTTTTTCAGTTCCACCAATGAAAATCATTTGGCCTGTACTTTAAAATCTAGTCTTCCAAATAAAGAATATGAAAATATGTTTGTGGAGGACAATGATGGAGGCTCAGATCATACTGCACCTCTTCAGTCTTCCAATGTGAAGATGCATCATACCAAAGTGTCTTGATCCACAACACACCATTTTCCAAAAGAGTATCAGTGGGCAGCTGACATGCCACCACTATGGGATATCCTAAACTAGACTGCAGTTGTCAGCATGTGGCACCAGGGAATGGAAAACAGGGTAGTTGAGACTGTTAAGGAGAATTCTAAAACAGTTTAGGAAATCATGCTTATGCATTTAGAGTCCATGTGAGAGTGACTTTTGGCAACTGCAAAGTGACTGAGACATGGCTTGCTTAGAAGCATCAAAATGAAGAGGCATGTATATTTTGGAGGCTTTTGTTGCTGTTGTTTTCTTATTACTTGGGAGCCACCTGGTGGTGCTTCATGTTGAACATGAGGAAGATGCTGCAATTGATTAATCTTAAAAATTAAATTCTTTTGTTTGAAGGTTGGCTGTTGGGTCAAAATTGTAAGTACCTCCTTGTGTTGCTTCAGGAATGAGGCTAGGATCTTCATCAATATCTTCACCAGAGAAATATTGATCTATGATTTCAAATGCTAATGTATATATATCTTCATTTTCATGTTGCTGCAAAACTTCAATTTTCTCCAAACCTCCACATTCTTCTATTATTTCAGCTATTGTGCTTGCTTCATCACCAGCCATTATCAGAATGTTTTTAGACCATCTAGAACCACCTGAACCACTTGAGAATCTTTAACTGACAGTAAATTACAAAATGGTGGTATTACATTCTGTTGGACAAGGTACTCAACCTGATCTTTTCTGCCACTTATTGTTAAATTGCTAATTGCCCATGCAGCTTCTTTTTGTGTTCCAAAGTCCCCCTTAGCAAGCTGATGAATAATCATAGGGATTAATCCAGCATCTATTACAGCTTGAACTTGTTGCTGATTGCCTGCTGTTATGTTGGAAAGGAACCAAACCGCTTCCTTATTTATCTTCTCCTTTGGGTGTGACAGAAGATTGGGGAAGTGTGACAGGACATCACAGTTGAGTACAACCTGTGTCTGCTCATCAGTGCCTGTCACAATGTTGCCAACCGCCCTGAGTGCTGCAGTTTGAACTTTCACTTCCTGGTGGCTCAGAAGGGGCACCAGAAATGGCACAACACCTGAATCAATCACCATTTGTATCTGTTCATTCCCTCCATCTGTCAAGTATGACAAAGCCCAAACAGTGTCTACAAGAATATTTATGTCTGTATGGTATATGAGGATACATAAGGCTGGCAAAATCTCCTGAACTGTCTCCATAGGCAGTGGGGGTTCCTTATTCCTGCAGAGATTTACAATGACCCATGTGACGTTCTGAAGGAAGGTGATGGGAATGGAGGGATTGATGAAGGACAGAAGAGGTTTGACAACTCCCAGTGATATAATATAATCTCTACATTGAGGACCATCATCTATAATATTTCCCAAAGCCCATACTGCTTGTTCACAAATATTCTGATGTGGTGAATGGAGAAGTCTTAGAAAAAGAGGTACTGCATTGGACTGTACAACAGCTTGAGTCTGCGCAGAAGTTCCTAATGCTATATTGGTTAGGGCCCATGCAGCTTCAAACTGTAATGAAGGGTTATCATCCCTTTCTAAACATTTGACTACAATTGGTAAAATTCCAGATTTTATTAAGTCATCAGTGGGTGGGTTTCTGTCACTGGATAACAGTTTTCTTGCTGCCTAGACAGCACTCAATTGGACCACTGGGTTATCACTTGTGGCATTCCGCAATATAGCTTCTAGTGTTACATTTTGTGCTTTAAAATCAGCATCAACATCAGAATCTTCTAAACTTTCTTCTTGGGGAACATTTCTCTTTTTCAGTAAGTGTTCATCTCTTTTGTTCTTCTGTAGCTCAACTGTCACTTCATTTCTGTGTCTTCGCGTTGTTTCCACATCTCGGTCCTTGTACTTGAAGCTCTTGATGCGGTGGTTCTCCAAGCCAGGGTTCTCAGCCATGGCTGCGCACAGCTACGGTGGCGGCTACTCCTGAGGCTGTGGTGACTGCTGCCTCTTGCTAATATTTTGAGTAGTATGTTGAACAGAAGTGATGCTAATGCAATCCTTTTCTTGTTCCCGATTTTGGAATGAAAGCCTCAGTTTTTCTTCATTTAATTTCACATCAGCAGGTTTTTCACAAATGGCTTTTATCAGTTTAAGTAATGTGCTTTTAAAATTATTTTCTGCAGTGTTTTTTTTGTGAGAAGATGTTGGATATTGTTAAAAGCTTTTTCTATGCCTATTGTAGTGACCTTGTGATATTTGTCCACACTTCTGTTTATATGATGTGTTCTATTTATTTCTTTTCTTATTTTTTATTTTTATTTATTTTTTTCCATAATTTTATTGAGGAACAAATATCAATGAGACAGTTTCAAACCAAATGGGTAAGACAGTTTCAATAATTAACACATTACATACATTCTTCCTAGTGGTTAATTGCTGTACAAGATGCGGACTTGATATCCTATTTACAAACACCATTAGAACAAATCCCTCTATTCATTAAGAGAATGTAATTATATATCTATCCTAACCACTTTGAATACACAGATACAAAATGGACATTCATCTGTATTCCCTTTTTGTGTTAAGTTCCATCATTTAAATATTATAGGTGTGTAAACTCAGCAAAATATTCTAAAAGAGTTCAGTAGTCCATAATAGTATTGGGTCTTCACTTCACTGGCAATGTCAGAAATTGTTGACCTGAGTCCCCTACTGCTCAACATAACACCATGGCTTTACTTCTTATGCTTTGTTTTTTTACTTTTCTGCTGGATGGTTAAGACCAAGGTAAAGCAGGACCTATGCAACAAGAGTTGTAGCTTTTGGGTCTGATAAGGTCAGTGAAATCCCCTCAGGATTTATCCTGAGATCCTGTACCTGAGATTGTAGAACCTTTGTCTATGTCAGCCATGTGGATGAGTCACGGCCATTGCTTGGCCAATGTGCTCTCTGTGAAAGCCTGAGAGAATGTTTTCTCTCCATGTGACTCTCCTTAGGCACACTGTACATCATCAATCACTTTCCTTTTTGGCCCCATAATGTCCTTGATCAGAAAATTTGGGACACTACTGAGTAACATGACGTTAGAGTACAAGTTCTCATATGTCCTGAGTCTTAATTGACCTTGAAAGGCTAGGGCCAAAATGTTGGCTTTCCTTGAGGCCCTCCTTTTTCTCTAATTTTGGTCTGCAAACTTAGGTTGTTAACCATCCAGAAGACAAGCTTATTGTTATTACCATACAACCTAGGCTGTTAAGCTTAACCTCACTATCTGTCTGACTATCAAACATCTTAGGCATAACATGGAGCAGGTATTTTTCATTAAGTATTGATATATTGAACTTTAAGTCCCCATAGAATATGATGAAAAAACATTTTAAAAAATATGGAACGCTTCACGAATTCGTGTGTCATCCTTGCCCAGGGGCCATGCTAATCTTCTCTGTATCATTCCAATTTTAGTATATGTGCTGTCAAAGCGAACACGCTTTATGCTTCTTGACACATATACTGATGCTCTGTATTTATGATTTTTGCCCTACAATATGTAATGTGCCTTTACATTTATCTCCTAACATCTTCTTTGATCACTGCACTTCCTTCATTTTCCTGGTTGTAACCGAACACAGGGCTCAAGAATTTACCACTAAGGTATGTCCCCCCAGCCTTTCTTCCTTGAGGCAAGGTCTTGCTAAATTGTCCATACTGGATTTTGTCTTGTGTTCTTCCTGAGTAGCTGAGATTACAAGGAGTGAGCCATCATAGCTAGCACATTATTCCTAAAATTACTCTCTTACTGACTAAAATCAATCCTTAAGCTTTAGAATTTAGAAAATTGGGCAAAATTTCTTTTTATTTTTTATTTTTTGGCAGAACTGGGGATTGAACTCAGGCCCTTACGCTTATCAGAGAAGTGCTTATTCCACTGAGCCATCTCCCCAGCCAAAATTGGGCAAAATTTCTGCCTCTCTCTCTCTTTTTTATTTCTTAAAAGGTAGCTATTCACTCTCATTCTTACAAGATATCTTTGCTGGAAATGTAATTCTAAGTTTACAGTTAGTTTCTCTCAATACATTGAAAAGTCTCTCAGTATCTTCTGCCTATATGTTGTTGCTGCTGCTGAATTGTCAGACTGTCCTTTGAAAAATAACCTGTTTTTTTCTGACTATTGAGAGATTTTTATTTTATGTTTCATGTCTATTTTAATGTGTTTTAATGTTACTTTCTCTGTTCATATTGAATGTCTTTTTATTGCATTTTGTTCTTGAATCTGGAATTATTTGCTTTCATTGATTGTGGAAAAATTTTCATATTATTAGTTCAAATCTTTAGTATTCGATTTGGTGCATTTTCTTTTCTTTTTTTAAATTCTGTATCATTGTTTTTATTTCTAAAATAAAAGATAAAGCAGAAACATTGAATTTACTGGATAATAAAATAGGTAAAATACTTAAAGCCACAGTTTTGGAAAGGATTTTCAAAACAGATTGTTTTTGTTTTTGTTTTTTTAGCTCCATTATGATTTTATTTTATTTATTTATTTTTTCATAATCTTTTTTAAAGTCAACAGAAAATGGAAATACACTTTTTAAAGTTTCTAATACTAGAAGCATATATCATATGATGTCTTTTAAATAAATTGTAAGTCAAAGATACAGTATAAGTCTTAGAACAAAAAATAAGATTAAGCAATATTCAGAAAATTAAATACTAATAAATTAAAAATTAAATGTTTCAAAACAATTGAACTAAGAAAAAGTTTTCATGATAGCAAAGAAGTACTAAGAGGAAAACATAAGATAAATACTGGAATGGCAAATAAATGACCAGCACTTTTAACAGTTTGAGGATACGATATCACACAAAATTCTAGTGTGTTGTGAACATGCATAACGACCATGACAGTTACTGGTGGTCAGGCATCACTTGTGGGACAGCTATTTCTTTGAAATCCATTCTATAAACTCAGATGGAATCATGACCCATAGGGTGGAAGAGAAGTCCATTTGTAGAGTGTGCTGATGGAAATATTTTGCTGCTGAACACAAAAGAATAACTGAAAGACTACTTATTCTCTTGTGTTTGTTTGCCCTATTTGGTGGGTTCTTTCCATTCTCATTCATGGGGCTATGATCAATTTGCTCCCTCTTTAGAACATCATTTAGTAGTCTGTATAGGTTTGGCTTTGTCATCATGAAATTCTTTAGCTGTTCTTTGTCATGGAAGTATTTCACTTCTCCATTATACTTGAAAGAGAGTTTTGCAGGGTATATCAATCTGGGTTGAAATTAAACAAATTAAACAAACATCTTGCAAGATTTGAAGTACTTTGCTCCATGCTCTTCTTGACTTGATGGTTTGTGAAGAGAAATCTGCCATTATTCTGATCGGTTTTCCTTTAAATGTGATCTGTTTCTTTTCTTTAGTGGCCTTTAGTATACTGCTCCTGTGCTGAATTTCTGGGATCTTGATTATTATATGTCTGGTTGTGGTTTTCATTGGGTTGCTGTTATTTGAAGTTCTGTGTGCTTCAGTTACCTGAATTTCAGATTG